AAAAAAAAAACAAAAAAACTTTAAGAGGTCAGGAAAGAGCTCAGTGCCCGGTGACCAATGGCTGCTCAATATATTACCTGTTAAATCTAGAAGCTATCAGTAAGTTGGTTTTGTTCCGGTCAAGCCAAGCTTTCTTCGGAACAGTAATTCGCCAAATGCGCCCCTGCAGCCACAGCCTCTACTTCTGCTCCCGTCCCCAGCTCCACTGGCAGACCTTCCTACACCCACAGCCAAGTGCCACTCTTCTGCATTCATCTCTTTTGCCATCCACAGGGGCTGAAGTCAGAGGGACGAGGACTCCGCTGACCAAAACCCAGACACATGGCCCTGCTAGGCAAGGGACTGCCCCAAGTGCCTCCCTGGTCACAGCTGCTCAGAAGGGCTGGCGCTGACATTCACTGGCCACCCACGAAGTCCCAGGCGTCGGACTCTGGGCACTTTGACACATTGTCTTCCTCACTGAGCTTCCTGATAACCCTCAGAGGTAGGTTCTATTACCTCCAGTGTGAAGAAAGACCAGGAGACAGGGGCTCAGGGCAGGGGGGGCAGCGCGGGGACGCTAACCGGGCCATTCAGGGGGCTGGTGCCCTTCCCACAATTGCTGGGTCCTTGGATGGGGACTAAGCAACAGCAGTGGGGGAAGGGCAGACACAACCTGGCTTGACAGGAGCTGCTGACCATGGTCCAGCTGGTCTGAGGGCATATGGGCCCCTGGTTCAGGCCTGAGGTAGTAACTGAGGGAGGGACAGGGTCAAGGACAGTGGCCAGGGAAGGGTGGGGGAGGCACCTACCCATGAGCAGCCGCCGCTTCACCCGCTTATCGCCATCCACCAGCGACGTGGCATTGCTCTCTGTCACCTCCGGGGCAGTGTCCTCTCGCTCTGTAAGAGACGCCCAAGAGCACAGCTCTCCGACTGAATGAGTCAGATGGCTCACCCCCTGCACAACCACTTCTGCCGAAACCCCAGATGTGAGCACAATGGAGGATATGCGACTCTGTTCGCTCAATAAAAATGTGTTGTAACGAGGCTCTGTGGGAAACCCGGCCTGTTAAATGGCCACAGAGCCTTAGTTAACATTGGAAAAGATTCTTGAGGCATATTGCAGTGACCAAAGAGACATCAGGGAATGCAAGCTTCAGGTTCACTCCAGTACCCTTAGTCCAGCACAAAAAGAATCTTGGGGCTGGGAACCTCTAAATGGAGCTAGCGAAGGACATGCCACGAAGTACAGGATTGGCATCCTGACAGATATATGCAACACTGTCTTCTGCTGACCATAACGGCCACCGCGTCATCACAAATGGCTAGCTTTAACTTCATGTCGCCCTGGTCCCAGCCTCCAGAATACCATCTTCAGGAGCCCCCCTAGTCTAGGAGAAGAGAAAGGGCTTTCCGAGATGACACAGGGAGAGAGAGACCCCCCTCCCAGGACTAGACCACTCCCTCCCTCTGTCACATGGAAGGCAGCACGGGACCTATTTGGAGGCAGATGGACCGGAAGCACCCCGAACCTGGTGCTAAACACCATTCATAGTCAGGGGTAGGCTTGGGGGGTAGGGGGTTAGGGGGTTAGGGTTAAGGTTAGGGGTTAGGGGTTAGGGTTATGGGTGGGCAGGCTGGGGCGGACCCTTACCAAGTGTCAGGGTCACTCACCATGGCAGCTTCTCCCGTCTGCGTGCATCTTGTACTGGGGATGGCAGCTACACTCTGGGCCTTCAGCAGTGTCCTCGCAGGAGTGCTGGCACCCACCATTTCCATGGTTACAGGTCACTGAGAAGAAAAGGAATCCACACGCTGAGCACTGAGTTTTCCACAACTGGGGCTGTTTTTGTTTCAGAAGGTCTCTGATATTCATTCAGCAAGTATTTGAGCACCTAGTATGTGCTAGGCCCTGTGCGTAAAACAAGTAACTCTGACTCAGACAGAGCCTGTTGCTGTCTATGTAAATAGATAGTCGGAGCATGAATTCAAGAAATGCCGAATGACAGATTTGAGCAATTATATAGGAAGATGGGGATGGGAAGGCAGATTTTCACTATTCATTCAGCTGTGGTTGCCAGATGGCCACTATTATACCAAAAGATTCTAGACTACTGCTTTGGTCTATCAGGAGAAGTTTGCATATTAATGCAGCTGTACTGGGCCTATATAAAATGTTATAGCACTTTATGGCTGGAAGAAACAGGTAATAGTTATTTGTACATATATGTTAGGATTTCTCTCATCTGATTCTATCTAGATTAGTTAGAAGGGACATTGTTCAGAGGAAATGATGACTCTGCACACACTTAATGCAACATTACCCAAGAATTACAAAGACTGTGTATGAATTCATTGATACCAGCCAAAACAAAGACAAAAAACAAAAAAACAAGTCAAAACTATGTATTCATCAAAGTGAACAGTGGTTACCTCTGGTAGGAGAAACGGGAGAGGGAAGAATATGCTTCCTTTACACCCTTAGAACTGTTTGAATTCTTACACAGGCATTTGTAATTTTTCCAGTTTAAAAAAACTAAATACATATTTGTGATGTGAGAAAGAAACTGTTCTGCTTCACAGTGAGGTAAACACTGTGTACTCATGAGAACAACTAAATGGGAATATGAAAAAAGTGAAGGGTCAGGAAGAAAGAGCAAAACAAAGTGAAACAGCTGGTTATGTGGTAGAATTCTGCATCTTTTTTTCTTTTTGTTTTTTCCTCAAACGTGATTATAATATTATTTGAGAAGTGACCTCTTAAAAATATTTAAAAATTTTAAATTTTAAATTCCAGGTATTCTACTGGCCAGAGTGTCACTCCACAGGTGAGCCTCATCTGGAGACCTGGGTCCTCCTTGTGAGGATACCAAGACCCAGGATGGTCTCCACTTTGCTCAGCCCCCTGGAAGCCCTCAAGAACAGCCTCACTTTTAGGGGCCCCAAGTGGTGGTGGCACCAGCCCCAGTTTGGCAGGCTTCAGGGCTGCACTCTCTGCTCTGTGGTGGAGACAATGGAGATAAGGCTCTCACTGGAGAAACAACCTCCTCCTCCCTCAACTGCTAAGGTCGACTCGCTGTAAACAGCCATCCCTAGCAAACTGCAGGGAAATTATAGAAGGTCCATGGCTTTGGGAAGAGTTGCCAAATGAAAACTGTCCATGTTTCCTCTGGCATAAATAGTGGTTTAGGAACACCTTTAATGGCCGGTTATTTCCTATGACCAGTTGGAGTTTCATTCTTTGCTTCATCATCGTGTGGCAGCTGTGTCCGCACTGTGGACACCATTCATTCATTCAGTAAACAAACGTGTATTGAGCACATCCTGCGCTGGGCACTGGGGGAAGACTGGGGGGAGAGGCAAAACTAAAACGAGATCCCTGACCGGGGGCGTTCACAGGTGAGGGGACAGACACCTAAATGTACAATTCAACCCGGGTGTCCCATGCTCTCACTGAGGAACCAACAGTGTTGTAAGGAGCCAAAATACAAAATGGCTGCCCAGCTGCTCAGGGCAGGCTTCCAGGGACGTTTAGTAAGGTGCACCAGCCTGAGAGCTAGGAGGACCTACACCTGAACCCTCACTTGGCGCATGCTCCCTGTGTGACCTTGTTGCTTTACCTTCTCCACAAAATGAGGATAATAATACTTAGCTCAATAGGGTGGTGATATGAAGAATTCAATGGAATTGGTACATTTTTGGACAAGCCTTTACACATAGTAAATGTGCCCTCAAAAGCAGCTACTTTCCTTCTCATTATTAGAAGTTAGGCAGAATATTAAAGGTTGACTGAGAATTCACCAAGCCAGGTCGGGATGAGCACTTGGAGAAGGCTTGGAGGCATGAAGGAACACGGGCTGTTCTCTGACAGACAAAGAGGTAGGGTGTTTGGGAAAAGGAGGCGGATGAGGTTTGTACAAGAAGCAGGACCAGGGAGCAAAGAGCTATGGTTGCCAGATGACCACGTTTGATTTTATTCTGTGGGAACAGGGAGACCGGCCCCAGCATTCAGTCCTTCTAAATTTAATTTCCTTCTGATTAGGTCCCTTAAAAAGTATCATCTTCCTTCCCTCCTTCCCTAGGGGAGCCCACCCCTTGTGCAGCAAACTTAGTCCTCAGTAGAGGTCAGTATCCTGGGACGGCTGCCTTCCCAGACGCGGCCGCTGTGCCGTGAGGTGGCGTTTCTGAGCTGGGCTGCAGAAGACACCCCCTGGGGTAGGCCGGCTCCCAGCACAGGCCTGTGCTAGTCTGTACTTACAGATGCAGTCTCTCTGGTTCTTGGCCAGCTCAAAGCCCGGCCGGCACTCGCAGGCGACGCTGCCCCTTGGGGCCTCCTTGCAGATGTGACTACAACCGTGATTCCGATTCATGCAGCTCAGACCCTCTGCAAAAGAGCAGCACGCAGCCAGTGACCAGGCTGTGAGCACAGTCCTGAGCCCCAGGGGCACTGCGAAGGGCTGGAGGCTGGGACCTGACTGCCTGGGTCTCCATCAGCCCCACATTTTAAGAAAACATGCCATTAAAATCCAGCCAGGTCAACTAACAGAGACATGAAGAATTCCCTCTGTCACCCAAGAGATCTGATGCCTCAAGTCTCCTGAAGAGGAAGGAGCCCTCCTAATACTCGGAAAAGAAAGCGCCCCTCAGGGGCTCTCTGGTGAGTGAGGAGCCACAGCCTGCAGACCCCAGGAACCAGCACTCAGACTCTTACCTCCGCCAGGTTGTTACCCAGGCTGACCAAGAAGGCAAAGAAAGAAGGAGAATCTAAGAATATCTTCAGATAGATGAAGATGGCCAACTTTTTCACATACTCTTGAAGATAATTTTCCGAAAACGTCAACCCTCTTTTCTCCCCCAACCAAATCCACACTTTGGAGGTGACTGTGACTACTGTATTTTGGCATCAGCACACAAAGGGCCCAGGGGCCTCTCTTCTGTGACCACTGTCACTTAGTCCCTGGGCACCCCCCAGCAGGCTCGGAGCACAGCACAACACAGCTGCAGAGGGACCAGAGAGAGCCTGTGGGCATGTGGTTTCCTTCAGCCGCTGTAAAATTCTCTCCAGGTAGACTACCATTTTCATAACGGTCCAATCCTCTGGTCACAGGGCAGGGAAGGGGGTTATTTCCCGGCTGGTTTAACACGCGTTTAAATGATGGGGGTCATAACCTAGTGTATGTCCGTGTGGTTTGCCAGAGCCCTGCCTCTTCTCAACACGACTCTCTGAGACCCCATCACCCGCCAGCACTCTGGAGGAACTATTATTACGCCCAAGAGCATTCCCAAGACCTCTGCTCAGTTCGTACTGCATTATTGACTACATGCCCATCTGATGCTTCTTTGCATCTGTACAATGAACATCTTTGAGAGTAGGCTTTTTGTTCTCAGCTAACAAGACACTCTCTAACACGGGAAGTAGCGCTGTTTTAAACATGAGTACAAGAAGTTTTCATCCAACTTCTCTGGGATCCTACACTGTCTTGTATTGTGCCCCTAAAACCTTAGCCAAGTGGTTCTAATTAAGTCAAAAGTCACTTCTCTCCAATTCTCACCGCAGAGCCGTTGATCTATGCTCAACTGGAATACCCGTTTTAATACAAACAGATGTCATTCCTATTCCAAAAGACAGCGTGACAGTTAATACATCCCATACTCTCTTAAAACCATTTTGTTTTTTATCTGACAGTTACAAGCTGTTTGAACTCCCGCACTCCATCTGCGTGATTCATTCACCCAGGCCAAGGCTGCTGTCTGTTAACACAGAATGGGGCTTGGACTCGAGCAGAGCAAAGCGCCCTCGTAGCTCTGGCTGGTAATTTGTGGAAACGTTATTTGCTTCCAACACTGAGACGGCACAGGAGGTGAGAGACAGCTGCCTCTGGAAGCGACGTTCTATCCTCCTAGGAAGGCCCGGCAAGAATTACATTTGTCCTTGGGTCAGCAGAGCACTGGGGATCACGCGTGCCAGGAGCCTCTAGAGCTGAACATGACAGTGCCCAAGAAAGGGCAACACCTGCAAAGCACACTCCCCGGACAGGTCAGGGGCTGCCGCTTCTTCTCACCCTGTTTACGAGTCTGTGGAGACATTTGCAAAGTGACCTGTCCTGCCTCAGAGCAGCAATTCATTTACACAAGAAATATTTCATAAGAATTGTCTGTTATAAAATTAAATTAAATTAAAAAAAAGAGATTACTTAAAAATAAAATATA